TGGAGAATTAGTGAAGTTCTGTACAACGGATAAAAGGAATATATATATATGTATATGTATATATATATATATACATATACATATATATAGATGCACATATATACACACATATATACATATTTAAAAGGGAAAAGAATAGAGTCTGCAAACTATAGGACAATGAGCTTGACTTTGATGGGAAAATTCTAGCATAGATTATGAAAGGGATGGTTGGTGAGTACTTAGACAAGGAAGCAGTGATCACAAAAAACCAATATGACTTCATCAAGAACATTTCATAGAATTACAGAATTTCAGAATTAGAAGGAGACTCAGTGGTCATCTAGTCCAACTTAAACTCAAACAAGAATCCCCTTTACAACCTACCTAACAGGTCATCTGGTTTGCTAAAAGTGCAATGAGAAGATGATTTGGGACCTTCCACTGGAGATCTCCTTCCAAGATGGCATTGAACTGATAATGACAACTCTTTGGGGCAGCCCATATAGTCCACATCTCTTCATCATATTTTTTTTGTTTTTTGTTTTAGGCAATTGGGGTTGAGTGACTTGCCCAAGGTCACACAGCTAGTAAGTGTCAAGTGTTTTGGTCTGAGGCCGGAATTTGAACTCAGGTCCTCCTGACTTCAGGACTGGTGCTCTATCCACTGCGCCACCTAGCTGCCCCTCTTCATCTTATTTGTAAGAATATCATTAGAGGGGCAGCTAAGTGGCACAGTGGATAGAGTGCCAGCCCTGGAGTCAGGAGGACCTTAGTTCAAATCCGGCCTCAGACACATAACACTCACTAGCTGTGTGACTTTGGGCAAGCCACTTAACCCCAATTGCCTCATATTAAAAAAAAAAAGAAAGAATATCATTAGAAATTTTATGAAATGCTTTGCTAAAATCTAGGTGAATTATATTTGCAGCGTAACACTGATCTATCAGTTAAGTAACCCTGTTAAAAAAGAAAATAAGGTTAGTCTACATGACTTCTTGGTGAAGCCATACTGGATCCCTGTGATCACTGATTCATTTCTGGGATGTTCACTAACCAGCTCTTTAATAAGAGTGGAGAGGAGATGGCCTCACATGTAGATTGGTAGCTAGAGTGACTAGGTATAGGAAGTTTCCCCCCAATACAAATGCACCCCATATATACACACATGAGCTCAGTAGGATGAAAGACAGTTGATTGAACACCAATACCTAAGAGCTTTTTCAGGATCTCCATCTCCTAGTGTCTTGGCTCTGGTTTTGTTCCACTTGGTCTAGAGTTTGAAATGAAAGACATCTGCATACAATGTATGAAAAATTTAATCATACATTGACTCATTTGCCTCCATTAAGCTTTTAAGCTGTAGGAAAACCTCACAAAATAGGAGGGACCTATGTCTCATTGGTCGGATATCAGGAGGTCAATCCATCTTCCAGCCTTCACACCAGCCAATGAGGCTTGGGGAAGCTGCTTACTTTGGCTAAGTAGTCTAGACTCATCATTTCCCCCTGGGTCCTGATTGGTTGCTCCCCAGAACTGGGGTATCTTGCACTCTGCTCCCTAAGCCATCTCCTACTCTAATCTCCACGCTTTTGGTGCTGCTTCCTAGGGCAACAGTAATCATACATATTTGACATCAATGTGATGTCCCTAGAACCTTCTCTTTCTATTTGAAAGAACCCTCACATTCACAGAGAAATAGGTATTGAACATATTGTGACCACATCGTTTATCAAATGTAGGAAAAAATAAAAGGAAAGATGTTGTGCTCCTATGTGGAGCCTTCCACTCCTAGCCATTCCCTAAATTCTTTCTACTCCTGTTCCTATATTTTCAGGCATGAGATTCCTGAATCTTATTCACCCGCAGCTTGTGGAATGAGGAAAAAGTATGTACATCTAGGACTCCAGATTCAGGTCATGGAGTATAAAAAAAGATAATGAAAGACAGAAAAAAAATGTCTCCCTGCTTTTGGCTCACCAAACCACCAAGGTTTAAAATAGCTGACACACTTAAGTACTTATACTTCGATTACTACGTATGCTCCAGGGTCTCAGCATGGCCCCATAGGGCTGGTTATGTCCCTTCCTACAGTCCAAGTCACTGGCAGACAGTCTTAGGCTGCTTCAGCCTCTCAGTCCTGATCCCTCAAGTTAGCTGTTACAGAGCAGCTAGGTGGTGCAATGGAAAGAGAGCCCAGTCTGGAGTCAGGAAGATTCCTCTTCACGAGTTCAAATCTGGCCTCAGACACTAGCTGCGTGACCCTGGGCAAGTCACTTAATGCTGCCTGCCTCAGTTTCCTTATCTGTAAACTGATCTGGAAAAGAACATGACAAACCACTCCAGTATCTCTGCCAAGAAAACCCCAAATGGGGTTACAAAGAGTTGGACATGACTGAACAACAGTAACACTCAGTGAGCAGGAATCCTGACCAGCTCTTTGCTCCCCATCACCAGCATGGGAACCAGGAAATCCCTCAAGGACAATGGGAGAAAAAGAGAACCCTAGGCTGATGTGCTAATGCACAAATTCCATTCCCTCTAACCTCAGGCAGGATTTTCTGTCTCAGAGTGTTTCTCTCTCTGTGGCAACTTCCATAATCAGCTTCCTTCAGCTCCACCCTCCCCAAATGAAACAGTAGTACTTCAGCACCAGTTAGAGTTGCATAGCAACATCTTAGAAAGTCCCTCATGGAGAGCCTCAGGGATTTATCTGTACTTGACCTTGTGCCCTCTGACATTTTTTCACGGACCTTGATACCCGAATAGATGGTATGTTTACTAAATTTTGAGATAACAAAGCTAAGAGAGATAGCTGACTTTCTGGATAATAGTCACGATCTAAAAACAAAACAGAATAGAACAAAAACTTAACAAGTTATAACACTGGGCTGAATCTAAGATGAAATTTAGTAGGGATAAATGCAAAGTCTTATATGCAAGACTGAAAAAAAAGATGACCTTTACAAGTACAAGATGGGGGGAAACATGGCTAGATAATCACTCATCTGAAAAATATTTGGGGGTTTTAATGGGTTACAAACTCCCTATGAGTCAGCAGGATAGAATGACATGATAGCAGAAAAAAAGCTTATTCAGTCTTAGGTTGCAGAAAGAGAGATACAGAGTTGAGTAAGGAGAAGATCCCCCCCCCCCGCCCCATTCCACCCTGGTCCATAATGTTGTGTTCAGTTCTAGGGCGTTTTTGAGAAAGACATGGATAAATGAGACTATCCAGAGGAGGGCAGCGAAGTTGATGTTCTTATAGTACAAAGAGCCTCGGATTTGGAATCAGAGAACCTGGGTTCAAATCCTGTCTCTGCCAATTACTACTTCTGTGGCATTAGACACTAGACATATCACCTAACCTTTCTGGACCTCAGTTTCCTCCTCTGTAAAATGAAAGGGGGTGGTGTAGATCGTCTCCAAGATTCCTGTGTCATATGAGCAAATATCTGGAAGGAACAGGGGATGTTTAAATTGGAGGAGAGCATATCTCTTCAGTAACAAGTATTCCACGGGTTATCTCATGGAAAAGAAGTTAATTTTATTCTGCTTGGTCTCAGAAGACAGAACTGGGGCTGATGAGTGGATATTGAAGAGAGGAAGATGTAGGTTTGATGTGAGAGAAAGCTTATTAGAGAGAAGGAACGTGAAATGGGTTTCTTTGGGAGGTGGTGAGTTTCCCAGAGTTCTGTTATAGAAGGGATTAGTGTTGAAGTAATGGTTGGATTGGACGGCTTCTGAGGTCTTTCAGCCCTCGGATCCTGTGAAGTTTGTGACACTCTAAGACGAGCAATAACCCTCTGAGGTGCCCAGCAATGGAACCTCCAGCAATGCAGGTAAGGAGTTATCTCCACAGGTAGTGAGCTCCCTGTCCCTAGATGTATGTATGTAAATGTTTGTGGTAGGTGGCTAGATGACCCAAGGGTCAATCGGTCAGTTGGTTTCCTCCTCTGTAAAATGGGGACAATAATAGTGCCCACCTACCAGGATTATTGTGAGGATCCTATCCAATCCAATAAACATTTATTAAGCACCTACTATGTTTCTGGTGCTGTGCTAAGGGATGGGGATACAATTAATAGAAAGACAATCCCTGTCCTCAAGGAGCTTACAATCTGAAGGGGAAGACAACACACAAAAGGAGGCAGGAAAGGGGGGAGGGAGAGAAGGGAAGAATAGGATGCCTAGGAGAGCAAGACCAGGCACTGATCAAATGAGATAATAATTGTAGAGCACTTTGCCCACTGCCTGGCACATAGCACTATATAGATGTTAGCTATTATTATTATTTGGGGGCAGCTAGGTGGCGGCCAGATAGATAGAGCCTGAAGTCAGGGAGACCTGAGTTCAAGTCCTACCACAGACGCGTACTGTGTGACCTGGGCAAGTCATTTAACCCTGTTTGCCTCAGTTTCCTCATCTGTAAAATGAGCTGGAGAAGGAAATAGCAAACCACTTCTGTATCTTTGTCAAGAAAACCCCAAATTGGATCCAAAGAGTTGGATACAACCAAACAACAAACAATACTGTTGATGATGTTGATGCATTTATTAAGGGCCTACTGTCCCCTGGCAGCTGGGTGGCTTAGTGGATAGAGTCAGGGCTGAGAGTCAGAAAGACTTGAGTTCAAATCCTGCCACAGAGGCTTACTAGCTGTGTGACCCTGGGCAAGTCACTTAACCCTGTTTGTCTTAATCCGCTGAAAACACTTCAGTATCTTTACCAAGAAAACCCTATGGACAGTGCTATGGTCCAGGAGTCACGAAGAGGCATTCACAACTGAACGACTGGACGCTGTGCCCCACGTTAAGCGCACATCTAGGAGGGGTGTGACCTGGCCTGGACACTTAGGGGATGCTTAGTCCCGGGATGCAGGGAGCAGACGCCGAGCCCTTACAGAAAGCAGGCTTTTAAACCTCACCCAAGTCGGGGTCCCAGGACAGCCGGAAGCATGCGATCCCACCCCTTTCTATTGCTCTCCCCATTGGCCGCGGAGGAGGCGGGCCTCCCTCGGGGATATCCAATCAGCGGTCTCCGGCGCCGGCGGCTGTGGATTACGTGGGCCCCGCCCGGTGGTCCCGGAAGGAGCGGCCACTGGAGCCCGAGGCCTGGAGCTGGAGGCAGGTGAGCCTGGGGGCATGTCGGGCGGGGCTCTCGCAGTGGAGGGTCCGGAAGAGCTGGGCCCCGGGTGGAGAAGGGAGGGACCTCTCCTCACCCCCCCCCCACTTGGATCTGTAAGCGCGCGCCCCGGGCCTGAGCCTCAGCCCCCCGCGGATGCGCGAAGGGAGGTGGGCTCCGGAGGGAGAACCTGCTCCAGGAGCTGCTGTAGCTCCCTCGTCCTCTTCTCGGCCCGTCCAGCCGTCCGTGCCATGCCAGGAGGAGGCCGGGGGCACGGTCCTCTGGGGGAACTGGCCCTGGAAGGAGGCGCTGGGGAGGAGGGGAAGGGCCCGGCAGAGATGCAGGGAGGAGACCGTTGGGTGCTTGGGAGTCTGATGGTGCCATCAGATAGAATTACGGGAAGATGAGTTCAGTTTTAGGGGAAACTGAAGGAGAATCCCCTTTGTGACCAAGAGGTCATCTCCTTTTCTCCAAGTGCAATGAGAAGGCTTTGGGGCGCTCCTGGAGACCTTCCGAGGTGCCATGGAACCATTAGTGACAGCTCTTTGGGTCCAGCCATTCATCCAGTTCCAAAGTCATGTAGTCATGCCATGACTGTCATACCACAGGAAACTTGGCAGGAAGGGTGGGCTGTGGGGAGAAGATGAGTTCAGTTGTAGATAAATTGAGTTTGTCTTGAATCCAACGATGTCAACAGGACATCCCAGATGGAGCTTTCCCCCCACAAAGTTGGAGATTCAAGTTAGGGGAGAGGTGAGAATTGGATACGTGGTCAGATTTTAGACTAACAGGACTAGAGGTTATTATGGAAGCTGCTGGAGGGGAGTGATTGAGATCACCAAAGGAGAGCATAGGGATCAAAGAGGCAACATTTCCCAGTAGAAAGAGTTTACTGAATCAAGTGTAAGAACTGGATTGGGTTTCAGACCGAGGCTCACCTCCAGCAGGTCATTTGTTTGACTTCTCTGAGCCCCAGTTTCTCCATTTGTAAAATGAAAGGGTTGAACAAGGTGAGTGATCTCTAAGGCTGAAGACTGAACCTTGGGGCATACTCAGGTTTAAAGATGATTCTGCCAAAGAGCCAAATAAAGATTGATGGAAGAGGGAGGTTCCCCAGAAGCCAAAGGATAGGACAATCTAGGTCTAAGAGGACCAGTTTTCAAAGTCATATGATGCAGAAATATCTAAGAGAATGAGGACAGGGAAGTGGTCGTTAAATTTGTAGATTAAGAGCTCGCTGGCGATTTTGAAACCTTAGAGTTGAAACTCATTTGTCTTTCTTTCTTGAAGAGGACCATGACTTCAGGAAGGTGATGTCATGACTTGCAAGTGAATTGGATTTAAGTGAGGGAGGGCCTTACTTTCTCCTTTGGAATCCATCTGGGTAGGGTGTCTAGGTATAGATCGGGACAATTGGAGATGGCCCTCGATGCAGTGGGAGGCTTTAGCCTTTTTAAGCTAAGTCTTTCCCAGGGCTCAGTTTGACTGAGGCAACTCCGATTCAGTGATTAAGAAATGAGGCAAAAAATGGCCTCTTACCTAGTCTCCCCCCACCAAAAAAAAAATCCATCTGGAGGGGAAGACCATCAAGGTTTCTGGCCAAAATGGAAACAATTGTTATTTACATTCACTCTGAGCCAAATAAGGAGCACATGAGTGGTTGGTGACAAAGTGAGTAAAAAGTGTTGGTATCAAGCATAGGTGACTTTCTAGGACTTTATCAGTAAAAGAGAGGACCAGTACAGCATTTGACCTTTGACTACGTTCTCCTCTGCCTGCTTTTAAGCTCTGTCTGGGGCCCTCATCACTTTTCTCTCAACTTTCTCACTTGGTGATCAGGTCACTTAAGTAGATGATTCCCAGATCCACCTGTCTGGCCCAAATCTCTCTCCTGAGCTTCAGTCCAGCATCACTAACTGCCTGGTGGACATTTCAAAGTGGCTGTCCAGTAGACGTCTCAAACTCAACAGACCCAAAACAGAACTTCTCACTCCTGTCATGGGGATCACCATCCTTCCAGGCACCCACATTTGTAAGCTTGGTTATCATGCTCAGGTCTTCTCTCTCCTTCAACCTACATAGCCAGTCATTTGCCAGATCTTGGCATTTCTTTCTCTACCACACCTCTGGGAGATGTTTCCCTTTCTTCACACACAGCTGCCCCCCAGCTCAGGCCCTCAGCACTGGCCTAGACCAGAGCTGTCAGACATGTGGACAACCCTCCCAGGTACCACCCAAACCAGATTACAATACAATCAGGACATATTTAACAAAATAAATACACAGGCAATAAAATAGGTAACATTACTTAAAATTAAGGCAATCTGCAGCCTGCAGGGATCCTTATGGATGGTGTAGTGGCCCTGTTTCACCCTTGAAACCAGTCTAACCTATTGCAATAGCTTTTAATTGGTTTCTGTGCCCCAAATCTCTCCCCACTCCAATCCATTTTCCACTGAGCTACCAAAGTGATTTTCTTACATCACACATGTGACCCCTCCTCTCCACGATCCCCACTCATTAAACTCCAGTGGGTCCCTTTTACCTCCAGGATCCAGTCAGAAGTCCTTCGTTCAGCATTTCAAGCTCTTCCCAACCCTTCCTTCCTCCCTTTCCAGTCTTCTTCAGTGTACTAGACTGGCCTCCTTGCTCCTTTTCACATATGACCCTTCATTTCCTCTGGGGCTTTGTACTGACTGTTCCCCATCCCTGGAATGCTGCCTTTATCCATCTCTGACTTTGAGAATCTCTGGCTTCCTTTACAATGCCTCCTCCTCCAGGGACGCCTTTCTGGGTGTCCCCAGCGACTAGGGCCATCCCCTCTGAGGGTTCCTTCCATATACTCTGTCTTTCTCTTGTGTGGTCTGATTTATGTTTTATAAATTAGCATGTGAGCTGCTTGAGGGAAGGGACTGTTTTTGAAGACCTCAACATGCCCAGTGCTTAGCATGGTCTCTGGCTGATAATCAAAGGAAGGGCTTGTTTTAGCTTGTTTTTAGGATTCGGGAGACCTGAATGTATTTCTAGGCAGAAGGGAAGGAAGCGGTATCTGGGGAGAGATTGAAGGTGATGACTAATTGGTGGGCCCAGCTCCTTGAGGAGATAGCCTCAGGGCTCCCAGGGGAGGGCTGCCCTACTCTCTCTGGGCTCACTCTCCCTTTCCCCACGCTTATTCAGACCAGGTCATAAGCTGATAGATGTGGTATTGGAGGAAATGTCAGGGTCGTCTGGGCCGACCCTCTCCTTTTGCATAGGAGGAAACAAGCCTGTGGAGGTTGTGACTTACTCAGGATCACACAGATAGGAAGTGGCAGAGTTCAGATTCGAACCCAGCCTTCTCACCTCAAGGCTGGAATCTTTATCCTGCCTCATAATATATGTAAATACCAAGTCTCTGCTTTTCTATCAGTATTATTCATGAGAGAAAAGGGAATGTTGAGTCAGAAGTAAATCCCCACTTCATTCAACAACTGTTTATTGAGGGACTATTATTAATGGGGGATACAAAACCCAAATGGAACCATCCTTGTCCTCCTGTTTACAAATAAAGACACAGAAGGTTATCTGTAGGGAGAGAAAGCACCAACAGTGTGTATGGGGGGAGGTCATGGAGAAAATCAAGGAATGCTCCGTGGAGGGAGGGGGGCACCTCAGCCGAGCTCAGAAGGACGATCTGGATCCTGATAAAAGCAGATGGAGTGTTGGGTTTAGAGAACCGTGTGTATGACCAGACAATGCAGTCCTGAAATAAGGCAGGAAGAAGAGTTCTGAACTAACTCGGGGAGGGTTAACAAGTGCCAGGCTGAGGAGAGGCAGGAGGGAGCTCCTGAAGGTTTAGCAGGGGGAAAGCTGATTTCGGCAGCTTTGTGGAAGATGATTGGAATTGGGAAGATCTATTACAGTCGCCCAGATGAGAGGTTGTGGGGAGGCCAAAGGGGAGATAGCAGGCACTGGCCAGGCCAGATTGGGCCCACCTGATTTCCTGACTCATCTTATCTAACTCTAGTCTTTGCCTGGAGGGAGGACCTGCCCACTGGCCTGGAAGTCATTACAGTCATCTTCTTCACGTCATCAGGACTGCTTGATTTCAGAGGGTACTCCAGCCTCAGCCATCCTCATCTTGGCCTTGACTTAGCACACTCCTCCGCACTCCCACGAATGAGAGAAAAAGGGGATATTTTATTCAAGGAAACAAGAACAGGTAAAAGTTTACCAATCTCGTTGGAGACATAAAGCCTTCTGAGCCCTACAATGTGTTTGCCCTGCAGCAGGCCCCTTAGCTTCCTTTTGCCAGTCTGAAATGGGAGGAGCATTTGGGTGAGTTAGGAAGCTGGGACTCGAACCCAGTGCCCTGATTTTGGGGAATGGTGAACCCTGAGCACCTCCAGATATAGCATGACCTAGCCCTCTTCTGGTCCCTCTCACCTCTGCAGGCTTGGACGGAGGGATGGAGGCCAGGGCCACAGACCTTGCTGATGGTGATAGGAGTCTTCATGTGCAAGTACGACCAATGGCCTCAGGAGATGAGGCTGCCCTTAGGGAGCTCTTAGCGGTGGTGGCGGCAGAGCTGGGTTCAGCCCTTGGAGCCCGGATGCTGTGGCGGCCATGGTTCCTGCTGCTACTAGGATGTGGCTTTGCACTCCTGGCAGCCTCCTCCCACTCCCTGTTGCTTCCCTTGCTGGTCCTGGCACTGCTCCTGGCTGTCGGCCGCCCTGCGTTGGCCCACGTTTGGGCTCTCTATGCCCACCAAGACATGAGCCTTGGTCTGGGGGCTCCAGGGGCCACAGACTTTCGATTCTGGGTGGCTGAGGACACAGATGGCAGCGTAGTGGGCATGGTGGGTTTGTCAGGGTTTGGGAAAAGTGGAGATGGGGAGTTGGAGCTGAGGTCTCTGGCTGTGGGCCAAGAGCATCGGGGTCATGGGGTGGGCAGGGCCCTGTGCCAGGCTGTGCTGGCCTTTGCCCGTGGCTACCCTGGCTGCCGGGTCGTGGTGCTGGACACACATATGCTCCATAGTCCTGCCCGGCGGCTCTTCTCCAGCCTTGGCTTCCATCCAGGCCCTGCATGCCTGCAGCCTACACTTAGTGGATTCCTGGCCGACCTCCCTGTCACTCGCTACCACTATGCCCTGACTGGCAACAACACAGAAGAGCGCAGCCCAAGGGATGAGGAGTAAACTTCTACTTGTCAGCTAGGGGACTGAGCCTCCCACCCCCCATCTGCCAGCCCAGAGATGCCTCTGTGCTGAGGCTCCTGGCGATGGGGGGGGGGGCGCCTTATGGCAGCTCAGCAGCCTGGAGACACAGTTGGTGAGCCTGTGATGGCAGGTGCTGGAGCTGTGAGGTGGGAGGATGATTGGGGGGGTTAGAGGTGGTGATGGGTGAGGATCAGGATCAGATACGTTTCCTGGGAATAACTTTCAGGGCCCTGAGCTGAGAAACCATAGGGAGCTGGAGGGGGCATTCTGCTCCATCTGGCATCTGAAAGAGGACACAAAGGAGTTCCAGCTATCTGCAGGGCAACTGGGATGGTCATCAGGCCATACGAGGTTTGGTTGAAAGAACCCAATGGTCAGATGGGATGGGCTGCGCGGGGAGAGAATGGATTCACCATTGCTGAGGGGCTTCAGGTAAAGGCTGAATGATCACTTGTCAGAGGAGTTAAGGGGGTGGGAGATGGGACAGAATTCCTGCTCACGAAGGGGGCGGATGGCTTGCCCCTCAGCCTTTTCCTGAGTCTCAGATTCTGAGGCTAGGGAGGCTGATCCTGTACCTAGCACATAGACATTGAATAAATACCTGTTGGATTGGGGTGTGGACAGGGCCTAAGAAAATAAAACTATTCCCCACCCTGTTCAGCTCTGTTTCTGTCTGTAGGAGACTTTTCAGAGGATTGTTAGAGATGACAGTGGGCATCTGGTACCTCCCTTCTCTTAGAGATATTGGATCTGCTTGTGCCCACCTCATCGCCCCACCCCATCTTTCCATCGAGGCTGCTCCCTGAGTGGAACCTTCTCCCAGGGGTCCTCCTGTAGGGTTATCCTGAGGACCGTTGCTCAGGGCTTCTACCTTTCCCAGCTAAACTTTTCTGATCTGTGGGCTCTGACCCACTCCAACCCGAAGGCTGCCTGGCTCCCTGGGCTTCCCAAGGGGACCCGCTGTGGTGGAAAGAGCATGAAATTTGGAGTCGATCCTACCAATGGCGAGGGAGCTGTGGACGCTGCCCACGGGAGGCATCTCAGATTCTTGTTGGGTTGAAGATCGGGACATTTCACAAGACGGCTTACTGCTCAGGGCCTCTGTCAGAATGAGGTCTTATTAGACCTACCCGGTCTAATAACTTGGCACGCCTTGAGCAAAGTGCTTTGTAAGTCAATTAGCAAGTATTTGTCACGTGCCAGCAGCCGTGCTGGGTGCTGGGGTGCAGACAGAGTACCAGAGAACGGACAGACGTTCTGCTTGTTAGTGTGTCCTGTATTATCTTGGGCTGCTGCCATCTCCTGGTGCCTCATTCTAATATCGCCATCCTTTTTTCCCTTTTCTCTCCTGTGGCTGTCTCCTCCTGACAAACTAGGCATTTCCTATGATTGATTTCTTAGAGAATAGACTCAGGACTAACAGGAGGGTAAGTCATTAGATGTAAATCATAGGTAAGCAAATTCCCCACCCCAGACTGAGCAGCTCCTAAGCTGTGGCCCAGGGCTTCTTCCTAGCCTTGCAGGCTCCAGAGGTCACCTGCTCCCCTTCCTACCTCAGGCAAGAGAGAATGGGTAACTCACCTCATCTCCCAAAAAGCTGCAGGCATTGGCCAGATTTGGCCTGATGGGCTGAGCTCTTTGACCCAGTCAGAAATAGCCAGCCAGAGAGTCTCGTCTTGTCCATCTCTCCCTCCATGGGAAGCCTTTTCCATCTCTGTGGAGCTAGCCATTGGGTCCCTTTACAGGCCTGGGAAGGGGGCTGGAGTTCCTGCAGGCCTGTGAGTTCCAGAGCTTGTCCCTGACCCATGTCTGTTGTGGGCCAAGGCTCTAGTGGCTCTGGATGGGGTGCACATTGAATCCAGCTGGTTCTGGGCCCCTGGGAAAATGTCAGGGAGCCAGGTCAGGCAAAGGGACATGGGAGTACAGACGGGAGGGAGAGTCTGTGAAGTAGGCCTGCCTCTCTTTACTCCAGTTTATGTCCTTGTTTGTGCGATGGTAGTGGTGGTGATAGTCATAGGAGGTAGTGTAGAAAGTGAGACTCATAAGCCCACCTGGCAGGCCCTTAGGACCTGAGGAGAGGGCCCTAAACTGAAATTTGGCGTGTGTGTTTTGATAGGAAGACTTACCAAACTTGGACCACTAAAGAGCGACCCTTCTGGGACCTCTAGGAAAGGCTGTTCAGTGTGGAACCTTTTCCTACTGCATGATTCCTGAATCTGTAATTTTCTTTTTCCTTGTGAATAAACCCTAGAAAATTTTCGTTTGTGGACTGGAGTATGTGGCGATGAGGGAGGGGGAATGGAAAGTTGGCTGAGACTTTGCTTGGGCTCCAGGAAGACAGCGGTATCTATAGATCAAACCACACAGGAAGGGTTTCCTAGCCAGGCAAGCCCAGGGACCAGGAGGGGCAGGGAGCTCGGGGCCTAAAGGAGGGCTCAGCCAATAGGGAAATCAAGGAAGGGGCAGAAGATGAAAGCCCTGGAGCTGAGGGCAAAGATCCAATTGATTCAAAAAAGCCCTGAGAAGCTGGTTGTGAAGCCCGAGACCCTGGGCCTAGGCTCCTTCCTCCTCTTAGCCAGAGACTTTCCTTCTTTCTGCCCCATCTCCTCCAGCAGGAGTACATTCATCTGCTCTGCTGTCCCTCCCTCTCTAGTGGCATGGCTAGCCACTTTATCCAGCAGGTCCTGCCTAAGGGCAGTTAGCAGTTCTGGGGACCAGGCCAGGTTGGGGTTCAGATCCTTCCTGGCCATCAGCCCTGTCTGTCAGAGTTTGGGCCCCTTCCTCCTCTCCCTGTTTCTCTTTGTATCTCAGAGTCTCTGACTCTCTCTAGGTCTCTCCTGGCACAGATGGCAGACCTTCTCTGGCTCTCACCTTCCTTAGCAGCTCCCAAACTGTAGGATTTGTTTCCCCAAACTGTTGGCTTTGCATAATGGGCCTTATGCTCCAAACTGTGCAGAGCGCCCCTCCCAGAGCCACAGAGACAGCGGAAGAATATGGCCGCCATTTCTGTTTCATGCCTTCGGTGTGATTGAGGCCACGTGTAGGAATTGGGGGCCATTGGCAACATTGTGTGTTCGTTCCCTTTCCTTCCCTCTTTGGTCTCTCTGGGTAGTGCCAAGGACCCTCTTTCATGTTTCCCTTTTCCCGACTCAGCTTGGGTAGAGAACTAAACTAGTTTAAACCTGCACGAAGGATTTTGGGATACCCTGTACTTTTGCCCCTTGGGGACATGCTGGCAGGTGGCCTTGTGAATACCGTGCTGGATTTGGAGTCAGGAAGATCTGTGTTCAAATCCTGCCTCAGCCATTTACTAGCTGTGTGACCCTGGGTGAGTCATTTAACTGGTCTGCCTCATTCAGTTTTCTTGTTTCTAAAATGAATATAATAATAGCACCTATGTTCCAGGGTTGTTATGAGAATCCGATGGGATAATCTATGTAAAATGCTTTGTAAACCTGAAAGTGCTGTATAAAATATACTAATTATTAAAGTTCAATTTAAAAACAGAGTTCCCTGTATTTAACCAACCATTTATTTGCCTTTCACCTTGCTGTTGGGAGTCCTGAACCATATCCTGTCACCCACTTGCACAGGTGATTGGGTGTGGAGTAAGGAGAAGGAAGAAGGGGATAACAACAGCAGCCTCTGAGGCCTTTGCCCAAACCTCCCAGCCTTGAAGGGGCTGAGGACTCTGCTAGGGCCCTGCAGGCCTCTCCCAGGATTACAAATGGCCTTCATCTTCCCAAGCCTTCATCTGCTGCCCTGGCCTCCCTGCCTCGCTGAGCACTTTTTTTAGAAGCATAGAACCCAGTCTGAGCCAGGAGGAAAAAATGGCAGCAAAGAAAAATCTGGGGATTCAAGTGGATCTCAGACCACCCATAAGTTGGCAGTGATGCACAGATATTAAAAAAAAAAACACAACAAAAACCCAGCAAACAAAACACCCAAGAACCCTGAGGGAAATGAGACCTTCCATCCCCAAACCAAAGCTGCCTGGCTTTATCAGAGCTGTGGGGAAGGGTCAGGAAATGGCTGACAAAAGAAACAGGGACCAAGTCCAGATGTTTCTATCTCTGGGGGACTATGACCTATGGAAGGCATGAACTGGAGGCAGAAGGGGCATCAGTATCTCCATTTATTGTTTCATTTCTCCCAAACCCCCTCCCAGACCAAATGACCAAAGCCAGACTCTGGACTGCCAGCCAGGGAATGGGGGAGGGCAGCACAGGCCCTTGGGAGATGAGGGGAGCTGGTGGGCTGGGGAGAAGGAAGGGCCACCCAGAGAAGAGACAACAGGAGACACAGAGACAATGAGAGCAACCCCCAGGGAGGCAGGGAAGGGGAGGAAGGCAAGGAAGGCAGGCCCAGGCTGGAGGCTTAGCCTGCTACAAGGGGATGTACTTTGGGAGCCTCAAGGATGAGGGTGGCACAGGGAGGTAGGAAAAGGGCATTGGTAAGAGAGTTTCAGAATCGGGTGGGTCACTCCACAGCTCCTAGGAGCTTGTTCCATGGGCCTAAAGGAACAGATCTAGAGTTGCTGGTGGCCTTTCCCAGAACTCAGGAGGAAGGATCTGGAACCCTGGCTTTGTCCCTGATTGGGGAAGCCAGGAAGCCAGCATTGTGCGTGAAGTAGGGTTGGCCTTGAGAAGCAAGCCAGAAGGAGGATGCTTGTTGGGCTACAGGCCTGGGAAATGGAGTCACACAGATTGGTCCTACAATAATGCTCCTGTTCCTGCCTCAAGGCCACACCCTGTGGGGGAACTGGGATCTTCACCCAACCACCTCCCCGACCCCACCTTTCCCTGGCATGTCATGTCTTCCCCAGTACCTACCCCTATCTCCTGTGGCTCTTGGCTCAATCCCTCCCCCAAGTCTTTACCTCCCAACCAGAACTGGGCAAGCAGGACTCCCTCCCCAGGAAAAGCTGTCCAGGCCAGACATGTTGGAGGCATCAGGCAAGGGCAGGGTGGTGAATCCTCCCAGGGAGTGGGAGGCAGTGCTCCATAGACACCAGATCGTCTTCCCTGAGCATTCTAGAGGGCAGGACCCTTCACCCGAACCCCTGCCCCCCCAAACCTTCCCCGGGAACCCCTCCCACCCCAAGCTTATAATGGGAAAAGTTTGGGGGGATCAGTCCCCCCTAGAACCACACGCACACACATACATATGTACATATGTACACACACCCATACACACCCATATACATACATACATACATACATACACACACCCAAGTTAAAATGGTGCTGTGAAGAAAGAAGCCTCCCGTGGCCAGTCCTGAGAGTGGAGGGGAGAAGAGAAAAGGGCTGTGGAGGGATAGGGCCCAGAGTCCCAAAGCACAGAAGGTGGAGTCTCTCCCGTGGCCAGCAGGAAATCCTCTTCCAGGTCATCCCAGTCCACCGGCCTGCCTGTCCCCAGGGTCTATCTCCAATAGCTGGGTTGTTCTCTTTGTGTGGGCCTCACATGGGGGGGATGAGGAGTCCAGACATGGCTAGGGAGAGGGAGAGAAAAGTCCAAGAAAGCAAGGGGTCCTCCTATAGCTCCACTCCTCCCCCCTCCTCCCCTCCCCTCGCATCTCATCCACTTCGTGTTCTTGGCTCAGTCCCACCTGAGGGAGAGGGGAGGGGACAGGCAGGACACTAGGCTGGCTGAATGGCCAGGACACTGGGGGACAGCACGAGAGAACCTGAGCCCCTGCCCCCACCCCAGCCAGTCCTCAACCTTATGGGGGGGGGCGCCTCACAACCAACAATCCCTGGAAGACAGTGCCAGGCTCCAAGGGCGGAGGAGAAAACAGAGACAAGGACAGCAACAGAGACGGAGACAGAGAGTGGGGCCCTCCAGGCTGGGCTGCAGGACACATACTGTGCTTAGGAGTAGGCCAGTCCCTGCAGGGCCCCAGGGGGGGAATGGAACTTGTCCGAGTCCTCAAAAGCTGGGTCTGTGTCCAGAAGGAGGATGGAGGGGGCAAGTGGAGGACAGAGGAGAAAAGCAGGGAGTCACAGCAGGGATCCAGGAGGGAAGGAAAAGGAAAGGCAGGAAGGAGAGATGGAGAAGGGCAAGATGAGTGGCCAGAGGGAGCAGCAGCTAAAAGCTGGCCCTCCCACTTCCATCACTGTTCCGACCCTCCCTCTCCCAGAGTTCACTGCCCTGCCTTCACCAGGAAGGAAACCAACCGAGGTTGGACTGGTGCATTACCCCAGGGGCACAGGCACTGGTCAGGGAGACCTCCCATGAGCCCTGGAGGTGTTTTTCCCACAGGCTACCTGGCCTCACTATCGAGGCCCCCGGGTTCAAGCACAAGTCCACTGTAGGGGTTTCTCTGGTCTTCCCCACCCCTGGCATGGAGAGGCCTGGCTCACTCAGGCTGTGGGCATCAAGAAACCCGCAGCTTTCCCAGGCTGGGAACCAGGCAAATTGGGCTTGAGGGGGTCTGGTGAAGGTGATCTTACATCAGCAGGGGGAAGCAGCGGAGCAGACCAAGCCATCTTAGAGCCCCCTAAGAGCTAGGCACCTAGCACCCAGACCTCAGCCCCACACGTGCTGCACCCTCTCCTTATCATCCTTACACAAGGAGAGTTATTCCTTGTGTCTAACAAAACCTCTCTTCTCATTTACCCTGAGATGCAGTGAACAGTCAGAAATACTGAGACCCATCCTGTTCTCCAGGTCCTGCTCTCTGAAGTATTTAACATTTCTGTTCCTCTCTCCTAGCCTCTGCAGTCTCTTCACATCCCGCATGTGAAGATAGCAGACACAGGGTCTTAAAAAGACTGTGGTTGAGGCCAAGGAAGGCTACCTAACCTTGTTTTTTTCCTCCTGTTCCTACAGCCCTACTGGGGTCATTCCTGCTCCACTGCTGTGGGACATCTCTGACAACCCCCCCCCCAAGTTCAACCTCAGGCCTTTCTGCCCTTGTCCACTCTTAACTCTGTAACCCTCATCCCAATTCCGACCCATCTTCTCCCTGACATTCTCAGGGCACTGGGAAACCTCTTCACAGTTTATTGTAGAGCCTTATGCAAACATTCCTACGTGTTTGCTGAATTGAATTATTTTTGCCCCTGCCTCCTCAGCTCAGTGTTATCTGTGGATCTGATGAACAGATTCTCTGATCCTTCGCCTGGGTCCCATTGTTGTGAACATGAACCAAATGGCTGTGGCTGCAGGACTGGGCCCTGGGGGGACCCTCTGTGCCCAGTCCCAGGCTGACACCAGACATCAAGGTCTCCCCTTCTAATCAGCTGTGAGCCCCGCTCCCCCACAGTGACCCAAGCACCAGATGTTTCAAGATTGTGGGTGGAATCCAGACGCTGAATCACATCTGTTTTCCTCCCTTGTCTTCACAGCCCATCACTTTATATTAGTAATCACCCACATCTCTATAATGCCTTAGGGTTTACAAAGCGCTTTCCTCACAACAACCCTGTGAGGTAGGTCTTACTCCCAATGTTTAGTCCAACTGAGAATAAATGAAATGAGAAAACTCGAATCCAGTCAGTGCCAGAGCCGAGATACAAACCCAATGCTTCTGTCTCCAAGTCCCTTTCCATTGCCCCACCCCTGCTGCTGCTTGGAGAGAGGACTGGAGCTGACCCATCACCCAGGGCTTCTGTGAGGCTCAAACTGAACTAACTTCTCGGAAAGCGCTTTGAAAAGCATAAAGGGCTATCCACATGAGAAGGATCACGGGAACTGACGACACTCTCTCACACCCAGACTGCAGGCCACCATTCTTTAGCAGGTGTTTGCCTAACCTGGGTAGTAGAGTTTGTCCTGTTGATGCTCCAGTTCATCCAAGATGGTCACTCACATGTCATTACAGCTAGGGTTGCCCTTTCCAGGTCTTCATCTAACAGGAGTAGATCCAAGGTCTTCTCTGGCTAGGACTCAGGGCTCTGTTTTCTGGGCTGCTCTCAACCCTGGCCATTGACAGCCTGAGCAGAGCACCTCCTTCCCCCTAGGACCTGGGAGCTGGCCTTCAGGATGGCCACCCAGAATTGAAATGCCTGTCAACTCTGAGAAGCTGCAAGAGTCAATAATGACCTGCTGTTTAGAAGGCCAACCAGTGGGTCAACAATCTTTCACTCAACTATCATTTATAGGTACTTTTACTTCTCCCTTCTACCCCTACCTACTGGTGGTACAAGACATGTTACCTAGAGACAAGGCGAGGGGAGGTAGGAACCTGGTCCCTGTCAACTTTAGTAGAGGCCAGCTGGCACCCACATTTTCATACCACTGATCATGCCAGGGCTAGGAGAACAGTGAACCCACCCATGTGAGCTGGTCACTGCCAAAGCCTTCACTTGAGAACTGCCAATCAACACCCTCAGCTAGTTCAGCTCTTTCTCCACCACGGACACCTTTTTCGGTGGAATAGTAGCTGACTCACCTTGCAGGGCACTGCCATTGGTGCTGGCGCAGGCAGGGGGCGGGGAACCAGGCGGGCGCACCACGGGGGCGAAGGCGCTCTTCTGCTTGACGGCAGAGATCATGTTGACCGGCGAGAAGGAGAAGACGCTGGTGGTGGGGGCAGCAGCCGGGAGGGAGATGGAGGAAGCTGCAGCCAGCGGAGGGCTGGAGGGCATGACTCCGGGGTGGGGGTGGGGAGCAGGAGTGGCGCAGGAGACACAACAGGGAAACAGCACTATAGAGAGCGTCCAGGGTGGCAGCCTGCCGGGCACCTGCTGCTGCGGCCACCCCCCCACCCTGAGGAACCCCAGGGTCTACACCACTCTGGGTTCAGTTCTAGGCTGAGACAGGGGGAGGCTGAACACTCTTGAGCAGAGTCAAGAAAATGAAGTGCACTTTCTAGAGCTTGGCAAAATCTGGAAGAGCCCTGATTTCCTAGGCCTGATCTGATGAGTCTCCTTAGGCCCAGCTGATAATCTCAGCAGCTACACTTCTCTAGTAACTGAGGGACACATGGTGGGATTAGTGATTTAGCCCTCATTTCTTGACAATAGCAGATAGGCATGGAGGAGGCTGCAAGAACCTCACCGTGCTGAAGGACTGGGAGCATGGATAGGCCTGCGTCTAGAGGGACACAAGACTGGTCCAGGCTGGTGAGGTCTAGGGCAGCCTAAAGTCTTCCCAGGAAGGGGGCCAAGCACAAACAGGATGCCTTCCTAGAGCCTGATCTGAAACAAGGTCGGGCTCAGGATGAGCGCAGGGTTGGAATCAGGATCAGGGATCTGGCCGCTGTGAACCATTGGCTTTAAAAAAGAGAGAAGCTTGAGGTGAAGGAATGATCAGAAGGTGGCACTAGACAGGGTCGTTGTTGGGTTGAGGCACTGACAGGATTCTGAGCAGCTTATATATCAGAGGTTAGGAATGGCAGAGTCACGAGTCAGGGAAGAATCATGAAAGCTTAGGGTTCCAAGAGCCCTCAGAAGTCACCTCGGCCAGCCCTGACATAAGCATGTACTTGACAACTAGTCACCACTCTCTGAACAACTAATTTTTAGGCCACTTTCCCTCCTATTTCACAGAACTCTTCCCCCCTAGATGACCTCTCCCCCACTGTTCCTAGCTCTGCCTCTCTAGAGCTAAACAGAACAGGTCCAGGGCCTTTCCCCTAGGAAGAGCCTTCAGACATCTGAAGGCAGCGCTCCAGTTTCCTCCAAAGCTGAATGCTGCTGGCTCCTTCACTGATCTTCAGACGTGGCTCACCATCTTGGTGGTTTCTCTACACGGGCTCTGCTTTTTCAATGTCCTCCTCCAAAGGCAACATACCCAGCACTGGGCACAGTGTCCCAGAAGCCCCTGGGTCTGCGCCCTGCAGATTTCAGTGGCCAGCCTGTTGCCTCTGCCATCCTGGACTCTCTTCCTCTCTAAGCAGTCATATCTGCTTCACTGGCTGCAGCATCCCATTGCTGACGCACTCAAGTTCCTGGGGCTTTTTCACTTGAACTGATGTTTACCCATGCTTTCCCCCTTCAGCCAACTGTGCTGTAGACGTCTCCACCTGGCAGGTCTGCCTGCAACTCCAGCTCAACCCATGCAAACAGAGCTCATCACACACACACCCCTCCCATCCTCCAAACTTCTCTGTTTTTTGCATCCTTCTCAGTCACCCAGTTTTGTAACCTTGGAATCACACTTGACTCATTCCTCACTATCTGCTCACATGGCCACCATCTTTCAGGCCCTCGTCCAATCTAACCTGGGACTATTGGAATAATCTAATAGGTCTCCCTGCTTCCAGTCTCCTCTCCAATCCACCCTCCACACAACCACCAGAATAATCTTCCTGAGGCATAGATCTGATCACATCCTGACTGGAGAGGACCTCTATATCCTAATGGCTCCAGCTGTGCTTCACCTGTCACCCTGTCTTAGAGCCAGTTTCACCACCATCACCACCTCTTTCCAGTTCTGGAATCATAATTAAAACCAGTGGTGTTACTTGTCAATTTACACCATTATGGTCCACTCACTGCACCGTAACTCTCCAAGCTAAAACATAGCTCCCTGGCTGCCACTCCTTTCTAACAGTTGTTCCCCTCTCCTTAGAATGTAAGCTCTCGGACAGCAGGACTGTCTCCACTTTTGGATTTGTATCCCCATTGCTTACTTAATAAATGCTGTTTCCTTCATTCATGCCCATCCTCTGCTAAAAAAAAAATAATAGCTCCCTCCTGCCTCTATGATAAAATACAACCCCTTCAGCATTAAGTTACATTCCAACTTACCTTTCCAACCTCATCTCATTGTACTCCTCTTAATGTTCTAGCCAAACTGGAATAATAGCTGTTCCCCAAATGTTTGATATTCCATTTTCTGCCTCTGTGTGTTCAACATAGACCGTCTCCTGTAGCTAGAAGATACTCCTTCCCCCTTCTTCTTCAAGAAGAGACGTCACCTTTTCTTTGAAGCCTTCCCTGTCTCCGATTGTTGGTGATCTCTGAGGTATCAAATTACCACCTTCTTTCTTATCTAAATACATGGGTCGGGAACCTGCAGCCTTAAGGCCACATGTGGACCCCTGGCATATTCCATCCCTTTCCCCCAGAAGAATATATATTCCTCTAGGGCAGGGACTAGTTTATAGCACTGCTCCTTGTATATAATAGGCACTTGATAAATAATTGGTGAATTGAACGCTGTATTTGGACAGGTGATTTTGCGAACCCTAAGTACAAGATTTTACATTTATCCCAGTTAAATTTCATTTTCTTGCATTCAGCCCATTACCCAACCCTTTCTGCATCCTAATTAAGTTACCCGATGTGGTAACTATCTCTTCCAGCTGCAAGCTATCTGAAAACTTGAAAGAACAGTTTGCCCATGCCTTCCTCTAAGTCACTGATGAAAATTTAAAACAGAAAGGAAGAGTCCTGGGGTATACCGCTAATGACTTCCCTCCAGGTTGACATCAATTCGTTTATCTGAACTCTGGATTCAGCCAGTTATGAATCTGAACAATTTTACATTTCTCTAACCTTGTCCACAAGGTGATGTTCAGAGACTGTTAAATACTGAAATCCAGGTAAACTGTTATCTACGGCATCTCCAAATCACCACTCTAGTCAAAGAAGATAATGACTTTAGTTGGCCAGGATTTCTTCTTAACAAATGCAGGCTGACTTGTCATATCAGAGCTGCCCTTTTCATGAATAATTCGCGCATTATTCAACGAAGATAATATGATATTCTAGTACAAATTTTTACTAAGAATCAACTGCTAGGTCACCAGCTCATGGTTTATAGGACTCAACTTTCCCCCTTTTAAAAAAATATCAGACTACTTTTGCCCTTCTCCAGCTCTCTGGCACTTCAGTTTGTGATCTTTCAAATATTGCCGAACTGACAGCATCTCAGGCAGCTAGGTGGCACAGTGGATAGAGCGCTGGGCCTGGAGTCAGGAAGACTCATCTTCCTAAGTTCAAATCTGGCCTCAGACACTTACTAGCTGTGTGATCCTGGGCAAGTCACTTCACCCTGTTTGCCTCAGTTTTCTCATCTGTAAAATGAGCTGGAGAAGGAAATGGCAAACCCCTCCAGTATCTCTGCCAGGAAAACCCCAAATGAGGTCACAAAGAGACATGATTGAAAAACAACAACAAAAGGAAAACAACGGCAGAGAATATTAATAATACAGATTCAACTCAAAAGTGTGCAGAAGCCCATTTCCCCCCAAGAGGGCTGGTTGTTAAACATTTACCAACATCACAGCATATGTTTGCCTCGATCATCAAAGAGATTACATAAAGTGCCTTACAAACCTGAAACCATTATATATGTCAGCCATTATTATAATTCATCCTGGTGAACTGAACTAGTTGAGGGCAGAGAGGTATGACTTTACTATTTCCTCGATTATCTGGATTTCATTTCTCTTTGAATTACTTTTTCCTTTCCTTTACATTCTGAAAATCATTCTCCTTGCCAGGGAAGGCGGAAGTAAAATAGGAGTGGAATAATTCTGTCTTCTCTTTGCTGTCCTCTGTCTTTATCCCTTCAGTAGGGCTATGTCTTCAGTGTTCATCCAAAGTTGCTTTAAAACATGTTGTCCATAGCATTTTTGCTCCCCCAAATCTCCACTTATTCCAGCCTTTGGATTTCCTTGGAACTATTCTCATAAGACCATGACTCTGTTGTCTTTGTCTTTGGCTGTGCAGGCTCAATTCCATTTTATCAGAAGCTCATAGATGGAAGAGACCTTAACATGCAGGCTCCTGTTTCTAAAGATGAGGAAACCAAGGCACAGAAAGGCTAAATGATTTGACCAAGGCCAGACTGTGTTTGAACATAGGTCTTCCTGACTCCAAGCGCAGTGCTCTGTTCGCTTCAGGACCTTTTAAAATCTGAATCCATTGAATGACCACCCTGTGCAGTCACAGTGATGTATTCAGATAGCTCTCTCTCACTTTTTCCCCTCATTGGAATTACTGGAGTTTGTACGGTCAGGATTTTGTTCACCAAGCCCTCCTAATCCTCTTGAGCCAACTTCCTTTTCAGAATCTCAGGACTTGAGATGTTCCCTATTCCTCCCTATGAACACTATAATATACCCTTCTAAAGCCTATGGTTATATCCGCCCAAGAACAATGCTCTTTTCCTTAATTATCACAAACAAACACAATGTGGTCACTCTCTCCAAAAACTACAGTGGTTCCCACTTCACCAACAAGTTCCTCCTCCTTGGTCATAATCAGCTCCAAAATAAATGTTAGTTCCCCTTCCCCCTTCTTACCTCAGAGTCAGATGAAGGTGAAACCACCCTCAGTATTAGGTGAAATTCAGGTTAGGGCTGGGTTGAGAGATCAGGTTTGTGATCAGTGGTTAAAATGGCAGTGGGCTTAGATTCTCTTCTATCCAGTTGTCCAATAAGATTTCTCTGTTATTACCAGATATTCAGCAGGCCCAAAGCATCAACCTCTTTCCTTTGCAGAATGGGTCCTCAGCCTCCTGGTCTCATTTCTGGCAATGACCTCGCCATCTTTCACAGGCCAGGAGCTCTCAGTGAACTTTTTCATTCTCCCAGCTGCATCACCTTCTATATCCAGTCAGTCACCAAGTCCTACTGATTCTTCCTCCAATGTTTCACATCTCCATCCCTTCCTTTCCATTCCCTTTGTCTCCAGCCTTGTCTAGGCCCCATTACTTCATGCTGGACCCCTGCAAATCAATAACTTCCTAATTGATTTTACTGCCTCCTGCCTATTCCAGCTCTAGTCAGTCCTCTATACAGATGCCAGGATAATCCTTCTCAAATATCACTTTTATAGGGTTGGATGAAATCACTGAAAATGACCACAAGGGAGGAGGAGAGTGTGTGCAAGGCTATCTGCCAAGATGGCACAAATTGGGATTTGTGTTCAGGCCCGGTAAGCACTGTCCAGAGAGCCAAGCACCTGGACTCTAACGTGATTGGTTTTTTTTTTCTCACCATTTAGGGCTTTGCACATAGTAGGGGCTCAATCCATTAGATTAAACTGTGTGGTTAACAATGGGGTATGATTGATTATAGTCAAACAGAGGCTTGAATCAGCTTGGTTGGTGCTGAGCCACTAAGGCTGCGGGGGGGGCAGTACAGAGTGAAGAAGAGCTGGGGTCAGAGTGAGCTTTTTCACCCTTGGACTTGGTGGGACCTGAAGGATTGGGGTCTTTCTCCCAACTCTTCCCCTTCTTCAGAACCATCTTCTGCAGTTCCTGGTCATGAGGGTATGGGTAATGCTGCCCAAATCTCCCCATGGCTGTTCTTTTCCCAACCAGATTCAATGGGAAATGCTCTGAGGCCTATATCCAAGGCTGATCCTCCATCAGATTCTCTCCACTGTCCACCTTGCATGCCTTCATGGTCTCCCACTCCCCTGGGCTCCATCCATTTCCATCCATGCCTATCCCTTGCCCTCCCTTTCTGGGTCTCATCCGCCCAGTAGAAAATATTACTCACCCCAGACCCTTGGCAATCAGCTATATGCAAAGCAGGGTAGAAAATGGGGGTCAAAGTTTAGAGTACAGGTTAGGGCTCAGTGTTGGTAGAAGAGACTAGGAGTCAGAGCTAGGGAGAACAGACCAGGTCAGGGTTACAGGATCCAGGCCAGGGGTAGCTTTGGCACTGAGGAGGAGGAGAAGCCTAGGATACCCATCTCGCATCTGAGCAGAATCAGCTAGAGATGGTTTGGAAGGTCCTGACATTGATACAGCCTGATCTGAAATCAAGGGGCCTTGGTTAGGGAGAGTAGAAAAGGGAAATGGAAGTGAGAAGGAGTTGGAGCTTTGGACAGTTTTTATAGAATCATAGAATCTCATAGTTGAAAGGGACCCCAGAGGTCACCTCATTCAACCTGTACCTGAACGGGTATCTCTGTCCTCGGCAAGTGGTTATCCAGCTTCTAATTCAATGCCTTCTGTAACAGGGAACTCATTATCCAAGCAGCTCATTCCATTCAAAACAGCTAATTGTTACAAAATTTCTCCTTATTATGGAGCTAAAACTGCCTTCTCACAGACATAGGCTCTATAGATATATACTATTAACTGGTAGAATGTAAGCTCTTTCGCGGCAGAGACTGTCACTTTTTTCTTTCTATTGCCAGTGACTAGTATAGTGCTTAGTATTCAGTAGGTGCTTCATAAATGTTTTTACGAACCCAACCAAATTCAGCAATTTTCACCTGCTAACAAATGTTCCCCAGCTCTGTCTACTCTTGGAAACAATACGCACCCAAAAGCCCTCCAAACACTGAGACCCTGAAAGACCCAGCTGGGAAACCAGGCCCAATGTCCATCATCACATTTCTTTTTGGCCGATCTCCTGGGGATGTGTCATTTTCCATGGCAATTTTAGCAGCTGAGGTAAGAACCAAGAAGGAAGTCTGGAGTTTTAAGTCTGGAGTAAGAGCTGCAAGGGCCTATAGCTTCCCACAGCCTCCAGGGCCTAACCTGACAGGCACCTGCTGATTTCAGTTACTAGGGTCAAAACCAGGTCTGGAGGGCAAAATTTGGGCCACGTCTTCAGCAAAAGAAAGAAAGCTGGTGACTACTCAGCAGCTCCAGGAAGAGTGGTACAGGTTTCATTAACAGGCTGAGGCCAAGGGGCCAGACCAAGTTCTATTTGGTACCAGCACGGCCACTAGGAGAAGCAGCCAGTCAAGAGAGGGGCCAAGGGCAAAGATGAGCTGGGGACCAAGATGGCAACACTAGCTAGGCAATAGAAAGATGAATGGATGAGGAGCCTAATGGCGAGTGGGGGTGAGGGGGACGGTAAGATCTAAATATCAGTGATCGGGATGCCAGCCAGATGGGAAGTTTCATGGTTGCTTGTCTCCAGTGAAAACTGAGCGAAGCCATCTGGCTCCCTGTCATGCAAGAAGACCATTTCTCCTGTGATATTAGGGACTTGTTGAGGGTGAGTTTGAGAAATCAATCCCAGACACCTGGAGGGTTTAGGTCCAAGGGTATCTCTCCTGCACTAGCAGAGCTGGTCCTAGTAATGCCCCTCTGAGAGGAAGTCCTGGCTTGGCAACATGGCAGCGGGGCTCCCCTAGGAGTCTAGGCTGGGGGATCTTAGGATGTTAGCCAAAGCTGAACTGAAAACAAAGATTTGATGAGAGGTAGGTGCTCTCTGCACAGGACAGAGTAACAGAGCTAGATCCATGGGAGTCCCCAGCATGTCTAAGGAGAAGCCACTCAGTCACTTGAAAGGAGCTCAAACCGGAGCAGGATGGATTTAGGCTAGATATCAGGAAGAACTTCCTGACAGTGATGGGAGGAGCCATTTTTCAGGGTTGTGATAAGAGGGCTGGAGTGGCAGACAGGAGGCCAGTGTTCAAATTCCAGCTCCCACACTCACTAGTTATAGGAATCTGAGCAAATATGTTCACTTCTGAGCCTTAGTTTTTTCCACCATAAAATGGTAATAATAGAACCTCATGGGAATGCATGTTTTGAGGATAGTACTTTATAAACCTTAAAATGCTGGAGAAATGCTAAGCCATCATCCTTCTGGGCAGTCACTTACTGAGCCCATGCGGTTTTCCGGCCCTGTGCGTACCAGAGCAAACAGGGCTAAACCAGTTCCCAGATGTGCGGGTGTTAGAAAGATGAGGCTTGGGAATGCCCACAATGAAAATGTTTCCCCTCTTGTGGTTCTGACCTCAGCCAGAGAGTGGAAATAAACGGAAAGGGAGTTTTCCATCTTTCCTGCCACTGTGAAAAGCCTGGGAACAGGTCCATGGAGATGTGGGAAGGGCTTTACCAAGAACCAGCAGGTGGAAAGTGAAGCCAGAGGCCCTCAGAGGCAGAGGGGGCCTGAGGCTTTCTAGTAAGAAGCGCAAATGTGAACTGAAGGCAGGAGGACACTAATGATGGCAAATGGGTCATGCAAAATTACCTGACATCCAAGCATCATCCACAAACAGGCATAACATGGCGTGCGCTGCAGAGAACAGGGGTGGCTGAATCCCACAAATATAGCAGAGAGAGGAGGAGAGGGAAAACCAGAGGGAGGGGGGAAGAGGAATGGGAAGAGGGAGGGAGGGGGGGAGAAATAAGAGAATGAGGAAAAGAGGGAGGGACAGAGGGAGGGAGGGAGGGAAAGTCTGCTGATGGTCTATACATAGGGGCCAGTGGCGCTGTGTGCAGGATGACAGAGCCGGGAAACTCTGGGCCTTAATGAAAAAGATCAGACAGCAAGACAAGAGGAAAGCCACTAAGACATGAAGAAAGGTCCTGCAGGCCTGGGGGAAGGGAAGGATCAGAAAGGAAAAAAAGAAAGAGGCAGCCACAGGCAAACAGGAGAAAGAGGAAGAGGACAAAGTTTGAGCCTTAGGGACCAGAATGGGGCATGAGATTGGCTTTTGAGGAGGGAATCTTTGGTGCTGTGTCAGAAAGAACTAGAAATACGTAATACATGATCACCTGCAGTCCTCCAGAGGGGACAGAAGACAGAATCTTGGGGGTATGGGAGGTTGGAGAGGAAGAATAGCTGGCAGGGCGTGAGAGGAGATGGTGTAGTTATAGAGCCGCCCTGCCTGGAGCAGTGACTCCTGCGACTCCTTCCCTGGTGCTCAGAGATGCCCAGAAGCTGTTATTTTCTCCTGCCAATCAAGCTCAGGGCAGTAGTTTTCAGTGATGAGGCAGCTGACAACGAATATACTTCTGAATCCTGAACTACTCATCTCTGACGTGGAAAGTGGCCTTTCTCTGAGTTCCTAGGATGGGCACTGGGGGAATTGCACATATACATACATACATATATATATATGTACATAAGATAAGGGGAAATGGATATATTATATGCACATACATATGTGTATGTATATGTATATAGGTATGTATGTATATATGTATATTGTATGTATGTATGTGTGTGTGTATATATATATATGTATATGTGCATATGTATATATATATATATATATATATATGTATATGCGTATATATATATATATATATATATATATATATGTATATGTGCATATGTATATGTCCTTGATGTAGACTGGAGGAATAGTTTAGGAAATAACAGGGTCACTGGGAAGAGCTGGGTGGGGGAAATTCTAGGAAGATGAAGAAGGACCATTTTCAGTCCTATCAAGGGACCCTGGGCCCTGCCCTATTCCTCTCTGCCAAGATGGGCTTTGTGCCTGGGGGTCACTTGGGAGAACAGGGTGTGGAAGAAGCTCCCACTAGCTCCACTCATTAAATTCCAGAGGTCTTGGAACCAGGGAATCTCTTGGAGGCTTTGACTTCCTCTACCCATCACCCATACACATACTTATCAGTAGATGGGCAGACCCTACCCAGTGACATCGAAAGGAAGGTGGACTGATGGGGTCTTTTATCCCAACAACTAGCCTTCTATTGCTTCCAGGACTTCAGTTCCTCATCCCTGGCTTGATAAAGTATCCCACCCAACACAGCACCATAGCAGAGAGTCATAGCAAGCCAGGGGAAACCTTGGAGGTCACTGAATTCAACTCCCTTGTTTTGCAGATGTCTGGGAGCAGTGCTTACTAAGACCTTGGTAGCACCCACCCTCCCATGCCCAAGTCCTGCCCACCATAGCAACTCACTAGCATAGGGTGAATTTGCAGTGGAGCCGTTGAGGAAGCTGGGGGAGCTGGGTACCCCAAGGCCAGCCATACCAGTGGCCCCGTAGCTGTTGATGCTGGATGTGATGCTGCTATAGCTGCTCTGCTGGGGGGTGGAGCTAGGCACGTAGCCCCGAGGAGACACACTGCTGGTATTCCGGGAGTAACCTGGCCAAGGAAAACAGGTCGGGGTGGGGTCCACTGGAGGACTTGGAACACACCCAGGGCATTGATGGGCAGAGGAGGGATGTATAGGAGATGGGGGGGGATAAGAGAGGGAAAGGAAACACAGTGACGCAAGAGTAAGCAGTGTAGGGAACAGCATGGGGTAGGGCAGACCCACCTTGTTCAGCCCCTTGTGTGGAATCTCCAATGTTGACCGCCAGCTGGCTCCCAAAGGAGTTGATGCCCATCATGGCTGTGTGGGGATGGCCTGGGGCCAGGGAGCCAAGTTGGGAGGGGGTGCGTGGGACACTGTAGAGTGCTTCTGCAATGTCTGCTGCCCGCTTTATGATGAGATCCTAGGGAGGCAAGGGCAGGGCTGGCCCCCAACCCTAGACCCCCACCAGCCCTTGGGAGGGATGACAAGAGGGAAGGAGAGGAAAGGGACACACAAGGAACCAGCAAGTTGGGAGAGGGATAAATAGGAACATAAATGATAAATTGGGAGCTGCAGAGGACCTTAGAGGTCAGCTAGACTCATCCTCTCATTTTACAGATGAGGAAACTGAGGCCCAGGGACATAAAGTCACCTGCCCAAGGTCACAAGGTAGCAAGTAGAAGAGCTGGGATTTGAACCCGGCCCTCTTGCCACTGTGTCAGAAAGCCTAGGGAAGGAAGGGAATGGGGCAATGGGGGACGTGGGAGTTGGAAGGTTCTTGAGGAAAAGGAAAGGTAGCTAGAAACCTTAGGTGGGGTTAATACCTGGTTACTATGTGGCATCCCATACAGAGCCTCCACCAGGTCAGCTGCCCTTTTCAATAGCACTTCCTAGGGATGGGATGGGGGGAGGGAGGATCAGCCCAAGGGAGGTACAATCCCATGGGGCAAAGAGAAGAATCCCCACCTCCTTCACTCCCTAGCCCTTGGCCCCTCTTTCTCCTTTTATGTCCAGTACCAAACACAACCCCCATCCAGCCCCACTCTGTCCCCTGCCCCCTTTGCAGGCCCTAAAGGTTGCTTCTGATCTGGCCCTTCTTATCCTTTACCTTAGGAAGCCGCTCAGGGTCTCCAGGATGTCGTGGTATCACCTTCTGCAGCCTCTGGAAGCCGTAGTCGATGGTTGGCTCATTGAGAGCTTGGGGGAGGTGGGGGGGAGAACAGTGTGGGGGAGAAGTATCCCTAAAGGGACAGGGAGAGATGTCCCCTCCCTCCTCCCAGTCTTGAAGTGCAGATTCCTGAATGAAGCACTCTCGGGGCAGCTCAGTACATGGAGAATATATTCAGAGTGTGTGTATTCATACATGTACAGAGTATTCACGCTTCAGAAATCAGTGTTGTGCTCCCTTCCTGCCAAGTGTCCCAGGACATCCCCACCAAGTGGGATTGAAGGGATTGGTCATGTTTTTCCAAAAATGCCTCTTTTACCCAACCCTGAATCCATCAGGAAGCAGTAGAAGCTGAGCAGAATGGGTCCCTGCCCACCCTAGTTCCCTTTCCAGTACAGCAGGGAGTAACCTGGTTCACACTGTGAGAGAAAAGGGAGAGAGCAGGGACAGTTTCTTTTTCTTTTTTGGAGGGGCCATAACTAAATTGTCATTTACACTATAACTGAGATGAGCTTTTGGCACCAACTAAGGCTTAAGAGTTTCTTTAAAGACAATTTTTGTATTGTAACTATGAACAATATTTATATTATAACTTTGTACAATATTTGTATTGTAACTTGGGTTGCCTCTTTAATAGACTCATCCTAGATTGTTATATATTATAGCTATCTCTATTGATGTCTTATCCCCATATTTGACTGTGGGCTCCTTGCGGGCAGGCACTGTGTCTTATATAAACTTTGTTGCTCCTCCAGCACCCAGCAGAGTGCCCATGCACACAGAAGGCACTTAATAAATATCTGTTGACTTGATTTCTGGAGAGGCAGATTGGGAATAATAAGCCCAGAGATGGGGGCTCATAGAATGATTGATCTAGAGTGGAAGGGACCTTTGGGGCTAACAGTCCTACCCCTCACACAGGTAGTAAGCAGCAGAGATGGCTTTGAACCCATATCCTCTGACTCCAAATTCAGTATTTTTCCACTAAGAATGAGAAGCTGACAGTGAGAAACTGGAGAGAAAAGAGCAAGAAGGAATGAGAATGAAGAAACTATGGTGCCAGAAGTTGAAGGTGAGGATACTAAATATTGTCAAAGGTAACTGAGAGAGATAAGGACAGGTCAAGATAGAGGCTGCTGGACTTGGCCAAGAGCCTGAGCTCTTCCTTTGATGAAGTGAACTCTAAGGTTTCCTTCTACTCTGCATATACCTTGTGTGTACCTTCTGATTTCCATGGTGTCTTTCTCATTAGAATGTAAGTTTCTCAAGGGCGGAGATTGATTTGTGTGCTTTTTGCTTTTCTTTGAATCCTCAGCTGTTTAAGCTCAGTTTCTGACTGACAGGAAGCATTAAATAAAAGCTTGTTCATTGATTGAATAGTGAGGGTGAAAATGAACATTGAGGGTGACGAAGAGAGACCTCCAGTTCAAGAAATGCAACTGTGGACAGGGACAAGCACTGGCCTAGGCACTGCATGGGAGTCGGGATACCATGGTTTAATGTTGACTTTCTCAAAACTAGGGAGATGAAACTCACTCTTGCTTAGAGACTAAGGAATTCTGCAGTAGAAAGATGAACTTAGGATGGGCCCAAAGCATGGTAGACAGAGGAACCTTTCAAAATGGAGAGACAACTCTTTCTTGTTGGATGGAAGTGAATAAAGGCTTTTTTTTGAGGAGGGGGAGGGCAGGAGAACTGAAGAGCTATGAGTAACACCAAGACCAGCTGAAAACACAGAAGGGGTGAATTCCTTGGAGAAGATCACAGACTGTTGTATGAGACTGAAACTGTAATTGTTCAGAGTGGTCACTGCAGGCTCTCTACGGCACGCAACTCCTTCCCCTCTGACCCACCCTGCTTTACCAGGGAGAGGGGGCATGCCACCTGCCTCACTTAGCAAGGGTAAAAGCAGCCCAGTCCATTACCCGTGTAGACGAAGCGGCCAGGGGCCCCTTTGCAGAACTGCTTGGACTTGTAGGACAGGGTCACCTCGACCACCCCAGGGATGTGCCTCGGTGGAGTCTGCACCCGGATGGCGTGGGGTGTGATCAGCTGTGAGAAGAGAGGGTGTCAGCTTTAGCTATGAGGAAGAGGAGGAGCTGGAAGAAAAAGACAGGCAAGGAGCCCCATCCCAAACTGGAGCCCACTCTGGTTTCGAGGCCCAGTGCCCCTCAGTCTTTATCGAAATCAGCATCAGTCTTGTTGACTGCCCCACTGCCACACAGGTGGCCACCCTCAGTCCCAACCTGTCCTGTCTCGCCCCAGACCTCCTGTCCACAGCCCCACACCTCACTCCACACCAGCATGGTTCCAAAGACGACCTGGAGACCATCGAAGAAGTTGTCTCCGATGACGATGACAGTGGCTCCCCCTGTGGTCCAGCCCTCGCTGGGGCTGATGGCCTTGATGCAGGGGGTGGCTGCTGTGGGTCAGGGGAACCGGGGTCAGGATGGGAACATGAGCAAAGGGGAGAGCAAGGCTGCTCCCAGCTGGAATGATCTGGGGGGATGGAGGGAGGGGAAAGGTATGCTAGATGGTTGCACCTGGGGGACAGGACTGGGCCTGGAGTTGGGTTGAAGGTGCTAAGTGTAGGTGGTGAAACAGGGCCTAGTGATAGAAAGAAGGATGAGTGGGTCTGGAAGAGCGGAGGATCGGGCTTTTCCTGGGAGGGGAGAAGGGGGCATGGTTGGCCGAGGGAAGGGTGCCAAATGGCAGAATCCTGACCTTCTGAAGGGTCAAGGCGGCGGGCACGGCGGCCGTGCTTGGAGTTGTTGTGAACAAACATGTTGTCAGACACAGCAAGCACGTGCCCATCCACACTCACGGTCGTGGAGACCACCACCTGCATAGGGGACACAGGGCCAGGCCAGGGCTGGAGGAGGGAGGCCACATTTGTGGGCATGGGAATAGGGCCTGGGCAGGAAGTGGGGACTCCCAGAGGGCAGGATCACTGAGCTTAGGATGACAAGCTAAGAGGCCAGCTGAGAAGCAGACCCCAAATGTATGCCAACGTATGCCCTCCAGCCTTCTAGCTGGCTTCTTTGAACCCCGGTTATCTCCATGAATACAAGTGTTGTCTGAGGGCAGGGAGACCCCGTTCCCGCCTCTCTCTCCCCTAGGTTTGGAATATTCCCAGGCTTCAGTCCTTCAGTCCTGTGGGCAAAGTGACCAACCAGGATGAAAGGGAAACAGGAGAGGATGTGAGGACGCTCATGCTCCCTGCCCCCCCGCAGCCAACCCTGAACCCAAGGCTGGGATCCTCCTCCTCCCTTCCCTCTCCATAGAAACAGAGACTTTGCTGTGGTTGAGTCTTGGACGACCTCAAACAGTCCAGGTCATTGGGAAAGAGGACTTCTGTTTTAAAAATGGTATGCTGGTCCTCTGTGCAGCGGGCAGGGGCAACAGCTTCAGAGAGTGACTCTTCACTTCCCTCGGGCTCCTCAGGTGGTATCTGAAGTGAGATTCTGAGGGAGGGGTCCTGGGCCCACAAACAGGGATCAGGGCCCAGAAGGCAGGGGAGGGGGGAAGGAAGAAGGAGCCCTGCTCCCGCTCCAAGGAAAGGAAGGTAGGAATGAGGAGGGAGAAATAAGACCTAGGCCCCCTGGTCTCCCTCTTTAGCTTGTCAGGTCTCTCACTACACCCCCCCCACTTTTGCCTCAGGGCTCAGCCTCTTCACCAGGGCTGGCCTGGAGCCCTTTGGATCTGGGATTGTGGGCAGGCCCCACCCTTTGGGAAGGTAAAGGGGGGGGCACTAACTGGGCTCCCCTCCCAAACTCTTCAGCGCCCTGGGGGGTGGGAGTTGGGGGGGAGGGTGGTACCGGGCAGCTGCTCTCTGCCTCACGCTATGTAAATTAGCTGGGTCGTTAATCATGTAAAAATGTCACAATTATCATCTCCTTAAGTGGGGCCCTAATGAGGCCTCAGCAGCCAGGGGAGAAGGAGCTGCTCCACCCCCCACTCGCACCCCCCCTCCACCTCCACAGGCCACGAGCTCCCTCAGGGCTAGGAATCTTGGGAGTGGGGGGGGAGACCTGGAGAAATGGCTGAGAGGACCCCACCCAGGGGCCCCTTTCCTGGTGGTGGGGGAGTCCCTGTCCATTCAGGTCTTAATCCAGGGTAGACAGAGGCAGGTTCCCAGACCTCTGAGGTCCTGGGGAAGAGGAGGAAGGGCTTAGGGAATGAGAGGGAGCCTCCATCACTAAATCCTATTAGGAAATGTAAAGCTATGAACAGGGGGGAAGAGGGGCAGCGAGGGTGTCTAGAGGGCCTGGGCTGCTCAGTCCCAGGGCACAGGGAGGCTGGGAGCCTACAGGGTCCAGCATTGGGATCACTTTAAAATTCTGGGTTCCCAAGAACCCAAGCCGTCCCCCTCCCCCCCAGCCTCAGAACCACCTTTGCTCTGGTCCCTTCCCACTGTTCTCTTCAGTCCTCTACCCCAACCCCCATCCTTCACTGCATCAGGTGTCATGGGTGGTGATGGGGGAGGAAAGAAGAAATGCTGGGTCAGGAACGGAGTGGTTGGGTACCTGGAAGCGCCTCATGTCTCTAGGATTGCCCGCATTCTTCAGGCAGTTCTGGTTGCATTTAAGGAAAAACTTGAGGAAAAACCTGAAACAAGGAGGAGGTGGTTGGCTTAGGGCTGGGGCAGGGTGATGGGCTTTGAGGGATCAGAGGGAAAAGAGAACAGTGTTCACAGATCCACCTCTCCCAGAAAGGGATGTGCCCCAGGAAGTGAGACCTCCCTCTAGGTGCAGTGGACACATTCTCATACACAGTTTGTACACACACACACACACACACACACACACACACACACCCTAGGATACACACATAGCATCTTCCACCCACACAGGATGCATACATACACACATAGAGCATACAGCTCCACACAGCACACATCATACAATATCCACCCCCCCCCACCCAGAGCATAACTGGCATACGCCCCCTTCCGTGTTCACATCCCCACATAGCATACATCCCCTGCAGTATAACCCAATGGGTATCACCCAGCACAAAGTACACTCTCCCACCACAGCCTGTATTTTCCTACAGTACACACCCTACATTACATAATCCCCAGGGCTCACATCCCCACACAGAGCATATACCTCTCTCTGCCTCCTACAGCTGGTCATTAAACATGTATTTAAGTGCCTACTATGTGCCAGGAACTGGGCTAAGTGCTGAGTGCACAGAGACATAAAAACGGTTCCTGCCCTCAAGAAACTCAGAGTCTAATGAGAGACAGCATGTAAACAACCAGGTACAAAATATAGATGGGATAAATTGGATATAATCAACAGAAGAAAGGCATTAGAATTAAAGGGGATCAGGAAAATCTTTTAGAAGATGGGACCTGAAGAAAGTCAGGGAAGCCAAGAGGTAGAAGCAAGGAAGAAGAATACTCCAGGTATGGGGGGACAGCCAGTGACTATGCTTGGAGTGGAGAGACAGAGGAACAGAAAGAAGGACAGTGTTCCTGGATGGCAGAGGCAGGGGCTCGAGGAAAAGCGGGGCTGCAGAGTGTAAGGAAATTAATTAGAAAGGTCCTTGTGGTTTTATAGCCATCTTCACAGCTTAAATCCACTCCCACAGCATGTACCCTCCATCTAGTGTTTACAGCTTTCACCACTGTCTATACAGTCTATATCTCACCCAAAGAAGACACATCCCCCTAGCATTCGGTACAGTTTTTACCAGATGGTGCATCTCCTCTCCCAGGGCAGAATGCATCCCTTAACATAACATATAACCCTCAGCACACAAAGCATACTCTTCTGAGAATGAGAAGGTATAGCCACCTCTCCCTCCATCCCCAACATATTGCTCAAATGCTCACTCCAAGCTCACCAATGGCTGATGGCCAAATCCAAAGACCTTTGTCAGTCCTCATCCTCCTTGGCCTCTCAGCAATGTCCTGCACCACTGGCCACACTCTCCTTCTCCCTCAGCTCTTGGTACAGTCTCCCCTGACTCTCCTGGCTCTCCATAAAATAAGGCGGTTAGACCAGATCAGGAGATTAATACCTGGGGTCCACTGATTCCCAAGGGATCCATCAATAGATTTCAAGGGGTCCATGAACTTAGACTGGGAAAATATTCTATCTTTATTTCATTACATTTTGCTCCATTGCAATTCTGTGTATTTTATTTTATGCATTTAGGAAGATAAATTTGAGCAAGGGTCCATAGGCTTCGCCCGACTGCCAAAGGGGCCCATGACAGAAAAGGTTAAGAAGCTCAGATTAGATGGTCTTTTAGGTCCTGTCCAGCTCTAAGCCTCCTACCTTTTTAATGTATCTACTTCCTTATTCCATCCCTTAATTATAAATATATTAAGAAGCTTAGCCCTAAATCTTCTGTAGCTCTTTTAAGACACTCTTCTTCAGGGACCTTATTGACTCCCATGGCTTCATCTACATATGCAGCTTGGAAATCTACATCTTCAGCCCTGACCTTTCTCCAACAGCCTGATGTGTATTTCTGCTGGACGCCCTGGTGCTACCTGAAAGTCAAGCAGTCTAAAACCATGTTCCTCTTCTTTTTTCCAAAATCAGCTCCTCTACCCTTTGTTTGTCAATGGTACACCTGTTCTCCCGGTCACCCACTTTGGGGTCTGTGAACTTTTGTTTGTATTTTCATAACTATATTTCAATATAATTCGTTTCCTTTGTAATTCTATGTATTTTATCTTATGTATTTAAAAACATTATTCTGAGAAGGGGTTGATAAATTTCAACAGACTGACGAAGGGGTCCATGACCCTTTTTTTTTTAAGAACCCCTGACTGAAGCTCAAAATCTTGGTTATTACTCTTCTCACTTAGACTACTCTAATCCCTTCCTAACTGGTTTTCCTTCTTTTATTCACCCATCCTCATCCATTTGCCATACTGCTTCCTGAAGAATCTTTCTAATACAGAACTCTGATCATGCCACTCTTTTATTCAAACATTTTCTATGGTTCCCCATTGCTGGCTAGATAAAGGATATGCTCCTGTTGAATTAAAGGTCTTCCACAATCTGGTTCAAACCTACCTTTCCAACCTTACCTTCCGCTACTCCGCTTCCCAGGTTCTACATTTCAGCCAACCTGGACTACTCTCTATCCTACTCTCCATCCCAGAGCCATAACAAGAGCAAGGCCACTGAGGTACATGCCTTGGGTGCACAAAGCTGAGGGATGCAGAAAATGTGAAAAATATGCATCTACTCTCCCAAGCACACTAAGCCATTAGGATGGGGTGAGAGCCCACAATTTCATGTTTTTGGCTCAGGCACAGAATCAGTTGGTTATGTTTCTGTTCCATTTTTCTCTCTCCCACTTCAGTGCTTTTGTTTATGTCTTCTCCCATGTCTAGAACAGATGCCTCCCTCCTCCACATCTCTGTCTATTGAAATCTCTTCCTTACTTAATGCCTTATTCAAATGCCCCCTTGTCCCCTGATCCTACCCAGATAGTGAGCTCTCTCTCCTCAGAGGACTGTATCCACTCTGATGGACACACTAAATGTTTGTTGAATGAATGAGTGAATGAATGAGGCATCTTTGGCTCTTCCCTCTTCATCTCCCCCCACCCCTCATGTAGCCAGTCACCAAGCTCTGGTGGTTTAGTCTCTGAAAAATTTCTTAAATCCACTCCTTTCTATTCCCCCTGCCATAACCCTAGTTAGTGCTTTCATCAGGATGAATCTAGTCTACTGGAATAGTCTTCCAAATGGGGGCCCCTTTCCAGTCTCAAGTAATTACTCATTCAAAGACCTTCAAGGTCTACCTAATAAGTTCTTAAGTTCCTTGACTTATCTTCAAAGGCCCTTGACAATTTTTGTCCTCTACCTACCTTCCTACTTCTCTAGCCTTATTTCCCATTACTCCCCTACTCCTGCATCTGGCCAAATTATTCTGCCACAAATGTGACATGCACATTCTTACTTCCACATATTTGCTCACATTGTCCCCTGTACCTGCCTTAGTCCTACCCTTCCATTAAGGTTCAGTTTCAATGGGGGTAAAAGGAGGGGAAAGATGGTTCTATCCACTATACTCTTGAAACATTTCTAATCTTTGTCACTCATTGGACACCTTACATCTGCCACCTTGTATTTATTATTATTCATTCATTATATCCATGTCCTGCCTTCCCAACAAAACTTCAAAACCTTCAGTGACAGAAGACCCAGGGCCAAGCACTGGGCCCACACATAGTAAGTAGGTAGGTGTCTAATCACCAGGAATGGTGAGGCACCAGCGTATGCTTCTCCACCTACTGTATATCAACCCTATAGTATACAGGGGATTGGAAGTGGATCTGTGATTTTATTAGGATAAGTAACTCCTGGTGAAGAACTCCCAATGCAGGTTGGAATTTTCTTGGCAACCCATAGTCTTAGACTGAGATGCTTAAAACCCCAAGAGATTGTGACTTGCCCAGTGTCACACATCCACTAAGTATCAGCAGGAACATTTGAATTCAGGTCTTCTTGGTTCTGAGACCAGTTTTTTGTTCACTCTTCTAGGACAAAGAAATATCCCTACATTGAACACAGCTCCATATACAATACACAATATTCCTAAATAGAACATCTCTCTTGGTGATCTCATCCATTCCCACAGCTTCAACTGGTACCTCCATATGAATGACTCCCAAAATATCACTAGTCCCAACATCTCTCCCAGGCTCCAGGCCTATGTTTCTAGCCCTTTGTTTCAACTGGCTATTGGACACCTTCAATTATTGTGTAACTACTATATAGAGAGCAATATGTTAGGGGCTGAGAGAAATACAATGATTGAGGAAGATATGGCCCATAGTTTCCTGAGCGCTATCTATTACAGGGATATGATACAACCACAAAATGTTACACAATAAGAGTAAAATGTCGCACAATAAGAGCATACGCAGTATGCACCAAATGCTATGTCAGGGATTAGGGGAGAAAGATATTACAGCTTGGGGGCAAGGGACAGGATGGCTTCAGGAAGGATATAGCCTTTGGGCAAGGACCTAAAGGAGTAGCAGGAATTCAACAAGGAGAGACAGTAGGGATGGCATTCCAGGCACAGGGATAATTATGAGCAAACACATAGAGGTTGGAAAATGGGAGACATCATTTCACCTCTCTAGATCTCAGTTTCCTTCTCTGTGAAACAAGGGAGGGGGCGGACTAAATGATCCCAAAGTCACTTTGATTTTTTGGATTATAGTCATAGGATAAACGCTCTTGTGTATGTAGCAGAGGATCAGAGTACGGGGAGAAGAATGTGATATAAAGCTGGAAAGATGGCAGAACACCAGATTTTAAAGGGCCTTAAATGTGAGGATAAAGATTTCACAGATCCTCAGCAAGTAATATGATGCCAATGAAGAGTTTTGAGTTGGGAAGAGACACGATCAGATCTGTGTATGAGGAATATTAACCTGGCAGAAGGTGAAGAATGGCTGGGAGAGGGGAGAGCAGCCATGAGTGAGAGCTTTGAGGAGGCTATTGTGATGGCTCTAGAAGGTAGTAATGGGATCTGTCCTGGGCCAGTTGTGATAGGAGTGGAGAAGAGGGATTGGAAACAGGAGCTGTTGCAAAGGTAGAGTGAACAAGGCTTGCTAAGAGG